GGGGGGGGGGTATGGAAGGAAGGGATCATTATTTTAGTGCTGAGTGCACCACCATTTTTACTATGGACCCTGTAAGACAGTCTGGGGGACACAGACTGGAAAATGGTAAATTAAGTTAAACTTCGTTTGCCTGCTGGACGAATCCTTTGAATCCAATTGCGGTGCATTCTAGAGCGGTAGCTGCTGGAACGCACAGCAATTGCTCACTAAACTTCCCCCTTCATACTGGGGCGGGAGGGGGCGTGGTAGTGCATTGAAGCCAATGGCATCGCAGCCACGCCCCCTGCCTGCAGTGCCATGGGATGCGCGCCAACATATTGCCTGCATTCCAGTCCACTGTGAATGCAAAAAATAAAGCATGCAGCATTTTTTGCGTTTGCAGTGGACCGGAACGCCTGCAATGTTTTGCCACATGCCCAATTGGTTTCCTGGCTGCGGTGCAATTGAGTTCAATGCACCACCACGCCACCTCGCCCCCCCCAAGAATGAAGGGGGAAGTTTAGTGAGCAATTGCTGTGCGTTCCAGCAGCTGTCGCTTTAGAATGCAATGCTGGGGTCACATAAAAATGTCCTTGGGCAAAAAGGGGTCACGAGTGGGAAAAGTTTAAGAAGGCCTGGTCTAATCCACCATCAAAATTAGCTGTAAAACATAGGCAAAAGACAAAAGGACTCTTTGGTGGTATTGTATTACCTTTGTTGTACTGTATTTTCTACTATATAAAGTAAAAAAGATCAAAACAATTAAGAAAATGTTTTCCTTATTTTCTGTTATAAAACATATCAAATAAAAATGTCAGGACAGTGCAAAAATACTCAAAATAACCACTTTTTGGAAAGTAGACACCCCAAGGTGATCTGGTATTTTGTTGTAGTTTTCTGCAAATGAAGAAAAATGCCAGTATTGAGGGGGTTAAACCATGAAGCTTGGTAATGGTGAGATACAATAAATGTACAGGTCATACACAGGGAGGTGGAGGTGAAGGGGGTAATGTACAAGTCACATACAGTGAGAGGTTAGTAGACATGTGCACAACAAAAACATTAGTTTTCAGACAAAACAAATGAAAATGAAAAACTTTTTTATTTGTTTTGTCAAAGGAAACACATTTTTATGTTGTTTTGGAGGCAACAAGCCTCCGAAACCGCACACTGATATGGCCACCGCTCATTCAGCGCGTGACGTCGCCGTCATGTGACGTCATACGCTCTGCCTCCAAGATGGCAGCTGGCATGCGCAGAACACTCTGGTAGCCAATATGTTCGGGCATATATTAAATTCATTATTTCGGATTCATGACGAACCGCTGAATCAATTGATTTTTATTGATTTGCAAGTTCGTCCAAATCAGAATGCACATGTCTAGAGGTTAGTGATGAAGGAGTTAGTGTACAGACGTGCAGGATAATGTAAACATTCCCATGTGATCATTGTGCTCAATCACAGGGCACAGAGCTGCTCCGATTGGCCCTGTGCCGGAAGCTGCTGCTTTCTGCTGTTGAATGACAGCAGGGACAGCAGCTTCTGTGGCCACAGGAGGCTGTACAGATACATCCTCCTGGAACAAGCAGGCTGCAGATTGGCCCGAAATGTACAGTGGTCAGTCAGTAGGTGGTAAATGCATTGATCACATTGTATTGTTTCCAGTTGTATTGTATTTTGCCCAACCTCTTTTAAAAAATTACAGAAAAAAACTTAACCAATAAACAAGTGTTCAAATTCTGATATCAAGAAATACATACTGCCCTACCTATCTTTCCATTAATATTTAGTTAATAGGTTTACTTGAATTAGTCTCTTTCAAATCAATACATAAATACACCAATGCAATCATAGCATTTCAAGGAATTGTAATAAGTCAAAACCACATTAGTTAGCTAATATTTATTATCGTCTACAGTCATATATGCAGTGTGTCTAACGCTTCCAAATGTCAGAGATTTTAATGTAGTAAAAATACACAACCCTGTTATGGGCTCTCAAACTGTGCTTAGGGACATTGGTTAATTAGAGTACCAGCTATTAAAAAGTTTGGTATTTACTAAGACCTTGTATGATTTACATTTGTAAAGAAAAGACTTCTGAGGTTTGGCTGTACTCTGAGTGATTAAACACTTGCTTTCTCTGAAAACAATATAAAAGATTACTAAGATCACCCCGTGCCATGCTGACTGCTGATTTTCCTCCTAGTATTCATAGCTGTTGGGTGGTACATGATTTTAATGTGCTCCCATAAAAAAAAATGCAGCACGGCCTCTACATTGATCTTTATAGGACATTATATGCACCAGAAATTGAGCTGTGATGCTAGACAGCAGAGTTGCACATTACAAATCAAATTAGCGACTCCTGTGCCGCTATATTCTTGAAGTAGACATATTATTGCATTTTTGTAAATAAAGATAACTCAACCACCCTGAACTTAGTGAAGTGAGGTGAAGTAAACCTGTTCATTTCAAACATCCAGAGAATGGTTTTCTCTGAGGGAGGGAGAATGAGGGAGAATCTGTTTTTTAAAATCCTTGCACATGATTGTAGTGTGCAGGGCACCCTACACTGGTTTACATGTGTTGGAATAGCACAGGGGTAGGCAACCCTCACACTTTCAAGGCTCTGACAGCCACAGGCATGACTCCTAGAGGCAGAAGCATGATGTGATTTGTAGCTTCACCACAGCTGGAGTGCTGAAGTTGCCAACCCCTGGGTTAACATAACTTTAGCAAATCACTCCCAATTTTTCTGTGTTAAATATAATAAAATGATTCATAATAACACCTTTTATTTATTTTTTTAGGTGATCCATGTCCTCAACCAGAACAGATATCATCTGCAAAGCTTGCCCCCTGTGCTCCTTTAATAGTTGCTGACTACTTTGAAGGCTGCATCTTTGGATACAGTGCTCTAATTGTAACCATTTGTTCTTTTCCCTTAGGTTTGTATACTTTAAGATGCTTATCAATATATACAGTATATGTTGGAAATAATGCAAATGGCACCACTTACAAAACTAACATGGAGATGAAAAGCACTTGGTGGTCAGTGCTTTACATCTCTTATTAAAGAGTATCTAAACCCAAGAACAAAAGACGCCATCTTACTGACCCTTAAATGTTGTGGTTGCATTCTTTTTTGTTTTTTTCAGACTATTCTCCCTTTATTTTTTGCTGGTGAACCTTAAAGCACACACCTTCCTCCTAGGGTAGTGTTACCAGATTTTTAAAATATATTCTGGGGGACACCCTACTTACCATGACAATGTTTAAACCACACCCACAAACCATGTCACCACTTGTAGCTCCACCCACAACATTACCCCATATTGTAAGACTCCCTCAAACATGTGATCACCGGCTTTTGGAATAAGAGTCAGACATTCAACAAAACTAAAAAAATGTAATATGGCACCAGGATATGCATGCATAGTAAGCAGAGATGCCTTGAAGGTGTCTAGAAGAAAAAATTTGCCAGGCTGCCTGCTGAACACCTGGAGAAGCACCTGGATGTTGCTTTATGGCTTTATAGCTTGCAATATGGGAGTAAAATAAGCTCCAGCTTTTGTATCATTGGCACTATAAAATATACACTGAGTGGCCAGTTTATTATGACCACCTGACGTTTGTAGACAAATTAGCTATAATTTTGCGCTGAAGTTGCTAGAGGGCCAGACCATTATAAATAGGGAAGCAGGTTGTTTACCACGACAGTAGAAGTGATTTTTTTCTGAAGATATGGGTTTAACAGCCTTTGAACGTGGGATGATTGTTGGCGCTCGGAGCCATGGAGCGAGTATCAGCAAAACAGCAGAACTCGTTAAATGTTCAAGAGCAGCTGTTGTTAAAGTGTTTAAAGACTGGACTGTCAGCCGAAAATCTGAGTCTGAACTTGTGAATTGTAGCCGTCAGCGACTAGTCAATGTTAGGGCAGAACGGAGAGTGGCAAGACTGGTACAAGACAACAGAAGGGCAACAGTGCAGTGTCAGATTCCTCGCATCAACTTTCAACATCTCGTGGAGTCACGAGGCGGCCCAACAAAGTTATCTCGTGGAGTCATCTCATGGCCCAACAAAGTACTGATGGGGTGGTCATAATAATCTGGCCACTCAGTGTAAGCCTATACTACTTTTTTAGTTTCAGTGATGCTTAAGGTAATTGTAGCCATCTTAGTGCACTTTCAACAACACAGTGTACCGTCCTTAACCCCTTCATGACTGAGCTTGTTTTTAGTTTCTGTTCGTAAATGACTGACGCACTTTTGACATTTTTGCTGTGTGATTCTTCCACGTCAGTAATATACTTTCTTACAAAGTGCACCCACACATATTATATATTGTTTTTTAGAGGACAGATAGGGCTACTAATTTATATCACATATGTGTGTCTAACGCCTCACTTAGGACAAATAAAATATAAAAAAAAGGGGAAAAAAACGTTAAAAAAAAACCTTTTTCCCAGTTTTGATTCGTAGTATTTTTTTTACAAAACCAGCACAGCTAAAACAAAATGCAATAAATACATTCATTTATTTGTCCCTTATTTTTAATTTTTTTACACTTATTTTTTTACACTTTTCACAATTTTTTTTTTTTCTTTTCACAATTTTTTTTTTTTTACACTTTTCACTATCCTGCAGCAGTTCAGGATTCAGCTGTCACTAGTTTTCTGATTGTTACAACACCATCAGAAAACTGAAACATTCTTCTTTCAGGAATAGATACATTATGTATCTTTTCCTGAAAGTGAAAAAAAAAAAAAGCCAGTATAGCTTGAGAGAGATATCTCTCGATCTATACGAGCTGTCAGAATGCCGGCAAACATGCCGGCTCTGCTTTGACTCTCAGACACCCGATCTTCAGGTATTGGGTGTCTGAAAAAGAATAACCCTTTCATTAATGGATGCCTATATACTGAGGCATCCATTAATGAATGATAACCGCGGATTCTCAGCGGTTACCAGCCTTCTAGGGCAGCAAATAACTCGTCACGTACAGTGTACGTGACAAGTCATTTGGTCCCTTTGTGGCGGGACGTACAGTGTACGTCTCCCGTCATGAAGGGGTTAATTATATTTTTCATGACAAAATGTAAATTTTCCGTACATCCTTTCAGGGTGTTCCCTTCTAGTGAATCCAAATACTGCATGGACTGAAAATGGAATGCACCAAAAGTTTGTCCTAAAAATGTACCTGTTAGTGCTAATAAAGTATCATGGACAGTACTTAACTTTGTTGTAGCTGCATGTGTTAGTAGTAAATAAAGCAGAGTTTAGGGGTTAGTAGCAATAAAAGAAAGCTGCTCCGCCATTATGTTCTTTTTTTCTTCAAATCAAACAATATTGCCACTTGAGCAGATATGCAGAAAACTGAAAATATAGGGAGGAGAGTATTTGTAGTTTACAGAGATAGATTGGAACAATGTAACTAAAAAAAATACAGCACAGTCAGAGAGCACAGCAGAGTTATCAAATGGCATGATTTCTGTAGAGATCAACGTGTATTTTTTGCACTTATCGAACAGATAGAACAAAACACTTGTTTAATGGCGTATTTAGCAGACCAAAAGAGACCATATAAGAGCCATTAATTATTAAGGTTGACATAGGATCTGACCCTTGTCATTCAAGCAGTACTTACATTTTTGGAAAATGTACAATTGTTGGCAAAAATATATACAATTTGATAGGACATTGGCTACTGAATATTAGTTGTTTACCATATCCAAGGTAATATGTATTTGTTCTTTTTAGTGATTTCAGCAATTCTACAGGAAATATATCCTGAGTTTTATTAGGTCTAAATTCTTCATAGTTTCACACTGCTTTCTTTTTTTCTACCTCAGTAAGTTTCTTTATTGCCTGGATAGTTGCTCACTCTCGTAAGAGGAACTTTAAAAAAATTCAAAGTAAACATGCTTTGCCCAGTACAAAGAAGGTCCTATCAGCTGAAGGAATTACAGGTAGATGTTGTTTTATACATTAACTCTTATTTAGTCAGTGTCCACTGTACACTATTGATTTTTTTATTCTAATCTTTTCTAACAAAATGACAATGAATTGCAGATCTATTCGGAATTTAATAGAAATAATCATGCATTGGTAACTACTAATAGTGAACTTTTACTATGTTCTGTTCTACTATATGTTAAATATTATATGGAAACATTGTATGAGTTATTTCAGGTTTACTCAAATTGTGTGTTTTTTTACAGTATTGACCATGATTTGCATACACATTAGAGCATGCCTGTGTTATTCATATTCTATTTTGATGTTGTATGGTATATTTCATTATTAATGGAAATGTCCTTTTAAGCTCAAGAGTGGCAAGGATCAAAAGAACCTTTGCGTGCCGTTCTCTTACAAATCCACCCACAACAAGTGATGAAGGTTTTGGACAGCCGGAACACAGTGATTCGAACTATTGCCATACCAAGCCATAAAAGGTTTAATGTCATTCAGTCTAATAATCGCGGATGCAGAACTTTGCTGGTTAAGGTGCCCAATGAGTATGATATGGTAAGTATGATATAATGTCATATGATATGTTAATGTTTAATATCTTTTTTTTTAATGTTTGAACTGCTGCATCTTGTTCAAAAACAATTAATAGAAACTTACTGGGTACTACAACCCTAATTCCCAAAAAGTTGGGATGGTGTGTACAATCTACATAAACACAGAATGCAATGATTGTCAAATCTCATAAATAGAAAATGTATTCACAATAGAAAATAGAAAACAAATCAAATGTTTAAACTGAGAAAATGTAAAGTTTAAGAAAAAAATAAGGTCATTTGAAATTGATGTCAGCAACACATCTCAAAAAAGTTGGAACAGGGCCATGTTTACCATGATGTAGCATCCCCTCTTCTTTTAAGAACACTCTGTAAACGTCTGGGAACTGAGGAGACCAGTTGCGGGAGTTTTGGGAGAGAACTGTTGTCCCATTCTTGCCGGATATATGATTCTGACTGCTCAACAGTCCTGGGTCCTCTTTGTCATAAGTTTTGTTTCAAGATGTGTCAAATATTTTTAATTGGTGGAAGGTCTGGACTGCAGGCAGGCCAGTTAAGCACCTGGATATTTCTACTACAAAGTCAAGCTGTTGACATACATGTAGTATTCCATATAGCATTGTCCTGCTAAAATATGCAAGGCCATCCCTGAAAAAGATATTATCTGGATGGGAGCATATGCTGCTCTAAAATCTGGATATATCATTCAGCATTGATGGTGCCTTTCCAGATGTGCAAGCTGCCCATTCCATATGCACTAATGCATCTCCATACCATCAGACAGTATATAACTTCCTTGTTGCTCTCCATACCGGATGTCCCGTGTAGTGCTTGTAGTGACTGCGGATGGCGCCGCCAATATCAGCAAACAAATGAAGATGTCACCAGCACACCAAAATCCTTTCAGGATCACAAAGTATTCATTTATTAAAGATTCATGTCATACAAACAAGAGCTTTTGGGGCCGCCTGGGTCCCTTCATCATCTAAATTCTTCTTAGTTTCATACTTATTATTATTATACAGGATTTATATAGCGCCAACAGTTTGCGCAGCTCTTTACAATATAAGGAAGACATTGCAATCACAATACAATTCAAGACAAGATGGTAAGGAGGGCCCACAATCTAAAAGGGAGGGGCAAGTGATACATGAGGAGGTAGCTGTGTGCGGATGAATTGTTTGAGAAAGTGATAGTTCAGTGGTCAGGTTGTGGTGGGATAGGCTTCCTTGAAGAGATGAGTCTTAAGGGATCGCCTAAAGGCAGTCCTAGTGAGAGATAGATGGACACGTTGGGGTAAAGAGTTCCAGAGGATGGGAGAGACTCTAGTGAAGTCCTGGAGGCAAGCATGGGAGGAGTTGATGAGGGAGCTGGAAAGCAGGAGGTCTTTTGAAGAGCGGAGGGGATGGTTAGGGTGATACTTTGAGACAAGGTTTGAGATATAGCCAGGGGCAGAGTTGTGGATGGCTTTGTAAGTGGTTGTTAATATTTGAATTTTATCCTTTGGGCTATTGGAAGCCAGTGTAGGGATTGACAGAGGTGGGTTGCAGACACTGAGCAGTTGGTTAGGTGAATGAGTCTTGCAGCTGCATTCATGATGGACTGAAGGGGGGATAGCCTGTGTAAAGGTAGGCCAATGAGGAGGGAGTTGCAATAGACAAGACGAGAGATAACAAGTGAGTGGATGAGTAATTTTGTGGTTTCATTGGTGAGGAAGTGGCATATTTTGGAGATGTTACAAAGGTGAAGGCGGCAGGATTTGGATAGTGATTGGATGTGGGGAAGAAAGGTGAGGTCCGTGTCAAGGATGATACCTAGGACCTTGGCATGGGGGGAGGGCTGGATAGTTGTGTTAACAATCTCAGGGGAAAAGTTTGGGGAAGGTGCACGGGCAAGAGGAAATATCATGAGATCCATTTTTGAAAGGTTGAGTTTTAAGAAGTGTTGCGACATCCAGACTGATATGTCAGTTAGTAGATTAGTGACAAGGGATGAGTTGTGGAGTAGAAAGATAGATTTGAGTGTCATCGGCATAGAGATGGTATTGGAAGCCATGTGAGGTTATTAACTGACCAAGGGAGGAGGTGTAGATAGAGAAGAGAAGGGGTCCAAGGACAGAGCCTTGGGGGACCCCTACAGAAAGAGGAATAGGAGGGGAGGAGTTAGATTTGTAGGTGACACTAAAGGAGCGCTTAGATAGGTAGGAGAACCATGAGAGAGCAGAGTCTTGTAGGCCAAGCGAGTGGAGTTTTTTGAGGAGGAGCAGGTGGTCCACAGTGTCAAAAGCAACAGAAAGGTCTAATAGCAAGAGTAAGGAATAGCGACCATTGTTTTTAGCTGTTAGTAAGTCATTAGTGAGTTTTAGGAGTACAGTTTCAGTGAAGTGAAGAGGGCAAAAGCCGGACTTTAAGGGATTGAGAAGGTTGTTATCAGCGATGTGGCGGCTCAGGCGGCTGTAGATAAGGCATTCCATGAGTTTGGAGGTGAATGGGAGTAAGGAGATTGGTCTGAGATTGTTGAGGTCGGTAGGGTCCATTGTTGGTTTTTGGGGTATTGGGGTGACCAGGGCATGCATTAGAGGGGAGGGAAAGATGCCAGTAGAGAGTGAGAGATTGAAAATGTGAGTAAGAGAGTGTAGGATAGAGCAGGGGGGTGACCAAAGTAGTGGTGAGGGAACAGGGTCCAGGGGGCAAGTGGTGAGGTGGGTGTCAGAGAGAAGCTTTGTAACCTTCTCTGTGGTGACAAGGTCAAAAGAGGAGAGTAAGAAGTGTGATGATGGGTCGGGTACATTAATAGGGGAAATTGACTGCACAGGGGTGATCTGATCCCGAATTGTATCCATTTTGTTTTTGAAATGAATGGCAATGTCCTGGGCAGTGAGTGAGTTAGTGGGTAATGGCGGTGGAGGACATAGTAGGGAGTTAAAAGTAGAAAAGAGTTGACGAGGTTTGGATAAGAGTGTGCCAATGAGAGTGACAAAATAAGTCTGTTTGGCAGCACGGAGGAAGGAATTATATTTTAGGTGGGCAGCTTTATACAGGGTGAAGTCTTGCAGAAGCCTAGTTTTTCACCACAGTCGTTCAAGAGCACAGCTATGTCTTTATAGATGTCTGGTTTCTTTTGTTTGCCACGGTTGTAGCGGACTTGGTCTACGTCTGTGTGTAGTGAGGGGGGCTAAGCTGTCTAGCGAGGATGAGAGTGAGCTGTTAAAAATAGAAGTAGCCAGGTCAGGGCAGGACAGGGGTGAGATTTTATCATAGAGGTAGTGGGTAGCGGAGTAGAGAAGGGTCGAGGTGGCGAAGGTTTCTCCGGGTGACAGTGTGCGGTGTAGGTGGATTCAGGGTTGGGGATAGGGTGAGGGTGAAACTGACAAGGTTGTGGTCTGAGAGCGGGAAAGGGGTGTTGGAGAGGTTGCAAGGAGTGCATAGGTGAGAGAAAACAAGAGCTAGTATGTTACCATCAGAGTGAGTAGGAGTGTCTGACCATTGTGTTAGATCAAAAGAAGAGGTTAGGTTAAGAAATTGAGTGGAAGCCAGGGTGTTAATGTTAATAGCAATGTTATAGTCACAAGAAATGATAGTGGGTATTTCTGAGGAGAGAAAGTAGGGTAGCCAGGCAGAGTAGTCATCCAGAAAGCAAGATACCAGTCCAGGTGGCCGGTATATAACAGCAATCATCAGCGAAATTGGAGAGAATAGGCAGATACAGTGGGTTTCAAAAGAGGAGAGGGATAGAGAGGGAGGTGAAGGCAGAACTTGAAAAGTGCATTGTGGGGATTGAAGGATTCCCTGTTTTCTTTTTTCTACCTCAGTAAGTTTCTTTATTGCCTGATGAAGGGACCCTGTGCGGCCCCAAAAGCGCTTGTTTGTATGACAAGAATCTTTAATAAATGAATACTTTGTGATTCTGAAATGATTTTGCTGTGCTGGTGACATCTTCATACGTTTTCCATACCATCAGAGGTGCAGGCTTCTGAACTGGGTGCTAATACCAAGCCAGAAAGTCCTTCTCCTCTTTAGTCTTAAGGAGGGGTTGCTCATGGTTGCCAAAAATAATTTCAAATTTCGATTAGTCTTACCACAGAACAGTTTTCCACTTTGTGACAGACCATTTTAACCTCCCTGGCGGTAATCCCGTGTCTGAGTCGGGGTCAATTTTCAATGCTAGGAGCGGTAAACCCCGAGCCAGACTCGGCGCTGCAGAGAAAAGTGACACTTACCTTGTCCCTGCGAGCCCGCGGCGTCCTCTGCTGTTCGCGGCCTGAAAATTATGAAAAACAATGTACCGCTTTTGGTACAAAATTCCTGACATAATCATACCGCCAGGAAGGTTAAATGAGCTTTGGCCCAGAGAAGAAGGACATTTCTGGATCATGTTCAGATATGTTTTTTTTTTGTATGATAGAGCTTTAACTTGCATTTTTGGATGGCATGGAAAATTGTGTTCACAGACAGTGATTGTTCAAAGTATTCCTGAGCCCATGCAGTGATGTCCATCACAGAATAATGCAGTGTTGTTTGAGAGCCTTAAGATCACAGGCATTTCATTTTGCGTTTCGGCCTTGTCCCTTGCACACAGAGATTTTTCCAGATTCTCTGAATCTTTTGATGATATTATGTACTGTAGATGATGATATATTTAAAGTCTTTGCAATTTTACATTGAGGAACTTTATTTTGAAATTGTTCGACAATTTTTAGACGCAGCTTTTCAGTCTGATGCTCTGAGATGTTCTTTTTATACCCAATCATGTTACTGACCTGTTGCCGATTTTATGGCAAGACAGGAGGCTTCATATTTTGCATATCTCTCTTTACTGATTCCTCATAACAGCAAAGAAACATAACAGAAACAGAAATAACCAATAGCAGCACACAGCATATTATATAAGTCCGCCCACACTAAGATCCCTCCTCTTTCTTTGCTGTTAGCCTCATGGCAGGTCAGTACTCGTACATCTCGCTCCTGTATTGCTGTTTTCTTCCTGTTGTAATTGGCTCTAATAGCCACCATACTACTGTGCTTTCTTGCACTGTTCCTCTCTCCCCGACCCCCCAGGGTCTTCTCAATCCAAGTCCTACCTCTCCCCACAGCCTTCTGCTGACTCTTTTTCCCTGTCTGGAGCCGCCGTGCGGGCTTTAGCTCCGCCGCCATTTTCTTGTAGATCTTTTTGCTGGCCATGGCGGCCATTTTGTTGCAACCGCGGCACGTTTTTTCCGTTAACCCCGCCCCTTCCAGACGAATTTGCATTAGCCCCGCCCACGTCACAATTTTTCTTGTGGTTTTTTTCACCTTCTTTCTCAGTGCAGCGGCCATTTTCTTGGAGCCAAGTTATTTCCTACACAGCCTTCCGAATTCTTCTGCATCCTTGGATCTGGGTGAGCCCCACTGTTGTTCTATGTGTCTGTGCCTTCTCTGTTTGTGGGTGAGCCCCACCTCTGCCTCCTCTATTTATTACTAATTGTACCTGTGCCTTTTATGTGCTGGATGAGCCCCAGCTTTCATTAGTGTGCCTTCTAATTAGTGGATGAGCCCCACTTCTGTTGCACTGTGATCCCACCTGTATTCTATTAAGGTGCTGTATATATTTATATCTTGTCATGTCTGACCCCACTGTTACGCCGGCCACCCCTCCGGCCGAAATACAAACCTGGATTCAGGCGGCCATTGGAGAGGCTTTTGGCTATGGCCTTGCCTCCTATAATTACCTACAAAACCCTGAGGCACATACCGTCCATTCTTATGCAGAGTCAGATGACACTTTTTATTTCCCAAGTATATGGGGACTCTCGCAGAGTGGGTAAGCACCCTGAAAAGGGTCCAGTAAATCAGCAGACAAAGGCAAGGGCCTTGCTAAAACGAGCTACACGCTCCTAAGTCCTTGCTTCGGCGGGACGGTTATCTCATGCTTCCCCCCTTGGGGAAACCCATCATCACTCCTCTCAGGAGGCCTTGGAAACCCAATTGCCATTGGGTAGTGACGCGGGTGAGCCCCGCAGTGTTACACTTGCCCTTACCCAGCAGTGTTCGGACCTGGTGGATGCCGATTCGGTGCTTGACCCTACTGGGGAAGCACTTTTTGATCCCAGATTCATTCACCATCCCAGGTCATCGGAATGGACCCTTCCAAACCATATTGCCAGATACCTACAGGTCTGGCTACGTGAGCCCTTAGACAATGGGGTCCGTAAACGCCTTCAGGCGGAATGCACTCGACCCTCCATCCTGTATAAGTCTCAGCCACACCTGAATTTGACCAGCTTATGGTCACCTATATTAATAGGAAGGGTCTTGACCCCAGACAGGGTTTGGAAACAAGGCTTAAAAACTATGTAGCATAAACTGCTTGATGTACCTGGACCCATGCCGCAGATCTTTGTCCTTGCGGACGAGGCCTTGACACAAGGCACTTCTCTGGATCCTCGTTTTAAACCTGGATTGGATTCAACGCTCTATCTGCCTGATGGGCAATCCAAACATGGCACTATCTGCCGATCGACGCAGCGCTACACTGCTTCGCATGTTGTCTACCTGTCAGATATGGCAGAAAAAGAGTTGGGCACTAAAGCAGATGGCAAACTCTTTAGTGAGCCCTTCATTGCAGAGCTCAGCAAACTGCTGGCTCTTATGCCTCCACCCAGAGTTACCCTTTCCTTCCGCCAGCAGATACTCTCATGGCCGAGACTACCATATCAGCGACAGAGGATGATCGGCTGAAGGTGAGTCCTTCTTACCTAACTTCTTCCCTTACAGGTCCTCCTGTAGCCAGCTGGCTCGCCCCCCTTTTTCCCTCTGCTGGCGCTTCAAACATCTTTCTTGTACGAATAAAACCTGGGGAATTTCGCCTGGTATAAACCTCCAGGTTTTGAACGACCACGTCGTTTATCGTCTTTTCGAGATGGCAGGCATCCATCTTTGCAGGGACCTGTTCTTGGACCGGGACTGGTTATACACCCTAACTCAGGCGCTTCCTCCGTTTTCGTTGGCTCTTCCATCTTTGGCTGTTCACCTGCTTTTTCCCTTCTGTTTGAGCTCAGCCCCTTGGTGCTCAGTAGTTTGGCATGATCACCTTTTTCCGCTCCCACAGACTCCGCTCTATCGTCTATCTGGACAATATACTTATTTTAAATGTCAACCCGGACAGTCTGCATGCTCAAACCTCTTGGGTGATTCGCTGGTTGTAGGATTTGGTTTTCATCATCAATTTCCCGAGATCCTCTGTCATTCCTTCCCATCATGTGCAGTTTCTTGGCTTCGAGATCGACTCGGATCTCCGGAAGGCGCTTCATCTGACTCATGTCTCCCTGCGCTCTCTGGCCAGGATTGTGGGTCTTCTCTCCTCTTCCATTCAGGCTATTTTTTCCGGGGCCTCTTCATTACTGAGCCCTCTTACGATCTATTGGTTCCGATGACAGGCGATGTCCGTGTCGGGCTCACGTGGTGGCATGGGACGGCGATTTTTTTGGCACTTAGCCAGACTTCGTACTGGACTTGGATGCCAGCCTGTGGGGTTGGGCGCATATTGCACAGATTTGGCTACAGGCGGGCGCTGGACACTTTTGCTGTTACGTTTTCGCTGTTTCTCTTGTTTCAGTTTACCGATTTGCTGTGCTCTATGACATTCCTGGTGTTCCGGATGGTTATTCTCCAGTTCGGTTTTGCCGTGGTTCCAGTTTGACTTGTATTTTTTCAACCTGTTTTGTTCATGGGGACTGTTTCAAAGAAAGAGGAGGGATCTTGGTGTGGGCGGACTTATATAATATGCTGTGTGCTGCTATTGGTTATTTCTGTTTCTGTTATGTTTCTTTGCTGTTATGAGGAATCAGTAAAGAGAGATATGCAAAATATTCGCCTCCTGTCTTTAATAAAATCCCGATTATTCGGTCACTAACGCTAGAATAATCAACAATTGTTCTTCCAGCCCTCCCTTGTTAGTACCACTTACTTTGCCAGTTTTTTGTTGACCTGTCCCAACTTTATTGACATGTGTTGCTGCCATAAATTTCAAAATTAACTTATTTTTTTCTTAAAATGGTACATTTTCTCATTTTAAACATTAGATGTTTTCTATTTTCTATTGTAAATAAAATATTGGTTTATGAGATTTGCAAATCATTGTATTCTGTTTTTATGTAGATTTTACAAAGCATCCCAACTTTTTTGGAATTGGGATTGTATTTTAGCCTATACCATTATTGTTTCTGGCCGCCACCCATCTTTCCGCTGCTAAATACTCAGTATGTGACCAAATCTGTAACTCACAGCAGCCAATGTGATCATGCATGGCATTTATCTAGCATATGTTAAAAAAAATAAGATAATTTGTGCACTATTTGCAGGTCTGGTTTCTTGTTTTATTAAGTCATTTAAAATTGCAGCGCTATGTCCTGTTGTTAGACTGCTGAATTTTGTACTACACGTTTTGGTGATGCTTGCCAACAGTGCTTTCTACACTGTTATTTTGAGTTTACTGTTAAACTGTTTTGTTTTTTTGCATGTTAATTTTTTATTGTAAAGTAAGTACAGTACAATAGGCAGGTGTCAACGATGCACAGTGTACAAATAGTTGGAAAACAAAATAGGTTGTTAGAGCATCCACAGTTATTCTCTAGTAGTGCACGGTCATGCGGTCAAAAAATACCGTCATATAAAGGAGTACATATAAAACTTAAATGTTGAAAATGGCAACAGCAACAAAGATGACATTTGGTAATATAAATGTGAATAACCTTATAAACATGCGATCAGTGAAGTGTAAGAAAGAAAGGAGTTGTTGGGTATTAGCAGAGCGTTTTGGGGATGAAATCTCAGTTCGGTGATCTAAATGGGGGGAAAGTTATATTCATGGGTAAGAGTAGATATGGGCAATGCCAAAGGACATTGAGATCACCAAGTGTGTTAGTGAGTTTGGCTTTAAACTGTTTTAAACAAACCGGTTAGACTATTCAAAGTTCATGGTCCTTGATGCCCTGTTGGAAACTGCCACACTGGCCTTTTCTGAGCTCACACTTTTACTGCACAGAGCATTAGACAGAGGAAGTGAACTGATATAAACCCGTGCTTGCTTCAGATATCCATTTTTTTGTGAAGTTCCTATGTTTACATATTAGTGTACAAATAATAGTAAGTTTTAAAAGAACCCATGTTCTTTTCATTTAATTCATGTAAGTAAGTCCACCCATTTTTTACGTTTCAAAACTCTGTTCAATACTATTTTGGGTTCTTGAAGGAATGTTTTTATTATTTTGTATGCTGAGCACTTTTGTCACTCATTGGGGTTTATTTACTAAAGGTGTAAAGGGTGTTCACTTAACGTAATTTTTTCCTTTGCAAAGTGAATTCTCACTTAGCTTAGTAAATAAGGTGAAGCAGTGTTCATGTTGAATACCCAATCGTGTGTCAGCAAAATAAAGAAAGAATAAGAGTTTTTCAAAAGTAATTGGATGATTGAAGCCAGTACAGCTTCATCTCATTCATTAGATTAACGGAACAGACACTTTACAAAGTGAACATGCTCTTTTCCTTTAGTAAATTAAGCCCACTTTCCTTCATTTGTTAGCCTTTGCGTTTTTACATAAATTACAGCAATTCAGGAATAGGTTGTGTTGTTAAAACTTTAATAAATAATAAATTAACGTATAAGCAAATTATGAGCATGGTGTAGAAATTTGTTGGAAGCACAGTTCCTGTTGCCTGTATTGATGGATCAGATTCTTGCTTTCATTCTCCCATGCTCCACTGAAAATAGACTAGGAATAATTTGGTTGCATTGGGCAAAAAGGACAGTTCATTTTTTAGAACATTAGGTCCATTTTGTTGCATGAGGTCCATTGCATTTAACATATACATTTTGTTGTAGGTGTTGCACTTCTACAGTGAGGAAGAATGCATAGGTTTTATCAATCAACTGCAAGAAAATGGATTTACACTTAATAAACAAAAAATAAATGAGAACATTCTGCTAAAGGAAGCTGTTACTAAAAAACAAAGAAGTCAGATCCTGGAAACCTTCTTCAGACACTCCTTTTCTCAAGTAATGTTTACATCAGCCACCTTCATTACCTATCTCTAATAGACATGCATGTACATGATACTCACTTGTATGTAACTGTTAAGATTTTATGCAATGTTCAATTAACGTCTGCGTTGCTATGTAACTGCTTAAATTGTTACAGCAATACGTAGAAATGTAAATGTAAATATGCTAACCAAATGAACATCAAAAAACACTTAACAGTATCTTGTCTGAACGACATAAATTATTGTGCGGGACATTTATCAATAATGTGGCAGCCATTGCATCTGTTAATCTGCCAGATTACTAATCTGTCATGTAAATAAAAATATTTATCATAATGTTGCATTTCAGTTAATAAATGTGCAATTTTACTTTGCACCCATTGTTTTGTTGGATTATACGAAAGTGTGATTTTCCAACTTGATGCAATTTGCCTAAAACTAGCTTTTAGAAGAGTATGAAGTCATTTTCAGATAATTGCATCTGTTTAAAAGTGGTCAATTTCACTTCTTAATTATGTAACAGATAAATGCAGATAAATACAGATAAAGATAACAGATAAATCTTGCGAAAACAGACAGACATTCGCAGAATGGTCATAGACATTTGCAAAACCAGAAGTGGCATGCCACTTGCAGACATACAGCCACAAATGGTAGAATATGATCTGTGAATGATTTGCACACATTCACATGATGCAACATTTGAAAATAGAGCATAACTGTGTTCATAAATGCTCCTGTCCCCTTGCTTATAAAGACATTTTCTTTGCCACAACACCCTTCATCGGTGTTCGCATCACCAAGTGCAATCCCCGAGTACGACAGTACAAAAAGCATATACACCTCTCCAATACAGGTGAAAAACTTCTGGGTAAATTCCAGTATTACATAGGAGGCCTGCAATTGAAAACTCCACCCACTGGTGGTTAATACCTTCCCGTCGGCGAGACCCTGTTGGAAAAAATGGCACAAACAGGGACCTAATTCAGTAAATGTTTTGCAATGTTTCAAACACCTAGTGGGTGGTCATTTACTTACTAAATTGTCATTTAAACCTATGCTTACCGTTGTGTCCTTTCAACTTTGCATTGCAAAGCTAATTTGTGTTCATTTCCTAAGTGGCAGCCTTCTCTCTTGTACTTAGTACTCCAATGGAGTTACACTAAAAAGTGAAGAGCAAAGAGAGAGGGAAAATATGGAGTATGATGTAATTATTTATGGGGCTCTGATATGTTATACATGCTCTGGGTGATAGTGTTATCAGCTTGAGACTGGAAAGCTGACAGGACATTAACGTTGAGACTTCAGAGGGCATCTTAGCTTTTGACTCCGAGCTCAAGAATTGGCCTCAGATAAAGTAAGCTAAAAAAAGTTTGCACACATTTAAAAATATAAAAATGAATATCTATATCCTTACATAAGCCCAAGACTCAAGACTGTTTCCTTTTAATATTGAATACCCATATCTTGCTTGGTACCTTATGTCATGACTCTACTTTCTATTTATTATGCAGGTTCTTGACATTGATCAGTCAGGCATTGAACATCTCAAAGCTGAAAGCACTTTAAAGGTGAGAGTGGCTCTCAAATGTGAACTAAGCAGGACAGAGTTTGCAGAATCACTGGGACTAAAGCCTCACTCCACATTTGTGGATTCCATGTTCTCTCTTGCGGATGAAGATGGCAATGGATATTTATCATTCAGAGAGTTCCTAAACATACTGATCATTTTAATGAAAGGTAAGTTTATGTCACTGATATTTACAGTTGACATATAGGCAGACAGGAATGACAGTTCTTGTATTATAAGAAAATGAGTGTATACTTTTTGGTTTTATAGTTATGTGGTGTTTTCAAAGATTTTTTTATTTGATTTTGGCTTATAATTAGAATCATATGAGACAAGGGTAGTAATCTATACTTGTCAGGAGGTAGTCGTCGGCCTGGGCCGGGAAGCGGAAGCCACTGGCAGGAACAGGCCGTAGTCCGAAGGCGAGGTACAAAGGGGCAATCCAAAGGCGAAGTCAAAGTCCGGTCCGGGTCGAGGCAGGCAGCTGGGTTCAAGTACGGGAAGGCAGGCCAAAGAGTCAGCAACAGGAAGTCAGACAAGGGGTTAGGAAATAGCAGCAGCAGCAAACACAGGAGGCTAGGTGATGCAACATATAGGCAGAATAACTCAGCAATGAGCCAGGGCTCTGACTGGGCTTTTATACCCAGTGGGGAACTAAGACCACCCCCTAGTCGCCGAGGCAACCAGGAAGCTTCTCCATTCCAGGAGCCAATGGCAAGAGAAAGGCAGAGGGTGTGTGCTTTAAACCTCCCCCAGCAAGGCCCACACCTGACACCAGTAATGGGCGCAGGCACACTATGCACACACGTGCAGCCTGTCCACCGCGCATTGCGCAAATGCGCCCCTGCAACCCTGGCGCGAGAGGCCCCGCCAGGAAGGAGAACCCGCGCCCTCTGCCGCACATGGCAACCCAGAGGAGTGGTAAGACCCCTGGTACCCTGACACTACTGTGAATTATTTAGGTTTAAATAAGCCCTACATAGTACATGTATAAAGTACGTAGCTTACACCATGCCATTGTTATTGTCGAGTCCAGCAAACAGTCATCTCCAACTTAAGTTAGGAGGCTACAAAGAGATTTAATATAGCATGGTTAAATACACAGAGTAGAGTTGGATAAAGTGAAGGTTCACTATACCGTTTTAGAACATTCTAAGACATGAGTCAGCTTAAACAAAATAAAGTTATTTTGCATTGACTAGAATGTGCCAGGGCTATTCACAAAAAGGTGAAGCATTTGGAGAAGGCAGGAGAAGTGAACAATCTAGGCCAAAAGAGAGGATTTGGAAAAATTCTCCAATTCAGCTCACGTTTCAGTTCAGCTATGTTGTACTTGATTGATCACTTCTCCTGCCTTCTCCAAACTCTTCACCCTTTTATGAAAAGCCATGTGAGTGTTAAAATAGCTACAAGGCTAAATCTGTTTATTAGATATAGTCTGAATAAACCAAAGACCAAAAATCTAACATCCTCCAGCTAACTAGGATAGACTAGGTAAAGAGACTGCAATGGTATTAGGGAACCTGGCACACCTCCACTCCCGCACGAACCATAGGGGTCTATTCACGAAGCTGCTGAAGGATTAGCCAATAGTAATGTACCAATGCATTTCAATGGGAACATTTCTTTTTTAATTTTTTTTATATTCTGACATCGCTCGTGTCAGAATAAAGAAAAAAAAGACATAGCAGTGTTTCTCTCCTTGGCGGCCGGGAGCGGAAGGAGAGTTTTTTTTTTCTTTTTCTGTTCTGCTAGGTCCCTGTGAGGGATCTGATTTGCTGATCGGTGTGCTTTTTTTCTTATCAAGAACTGATGCCTGTGAGACAGCAAAAGACCAAGGAATTGGCATTTTCAGAGGAAAAACAGTGACCGTATCCCCACTATGTCTCAGTTTTTTACTTAAAATATACTATAAAGATAAAATGATTTAATTGCATCAACTATATAACTATAGCCATAGCAGCCCATGTGATTGTTATGGGGCATAGGCATGGGATGGGGCCCCCTTAGGTAGGGTGTTGAGGCAAATTGATCATAAACAAATCTGTGTGCATGTGAAGAAAATGCAGATCTAGTACTGTATTATTAAAGGATAATTGCATGTTAGGATAAAGTGCACTTTTCCTTTTCACTCCCTTCCCTTGGTGTAACTTAAGAAAGCCCACTATCCTTCTATACAAATGCATACTTACTGTACCTTGATACTTACCACCAACTCCATTGTTTGCTTGGCCAGTGCCAAACATCTTTACTGTCCTGGCTCCGCCTGTGCATTACAGCCTCATATGGGACCTAGGTAGGGATAGGTCAGGGGAAAGAAGCAGAGAGGTTACGTGCACTTTGTTTCAAAGTACACTTATTCATGGAAAAGTTGCTGTTGGCAGTGACCTTGATCCCTTGTGAAATCTCGAGTCTAGAAGAGCTGACAAGAGCTTCTGAAGTCAACTCAGCGAGCACTCTAAAATCATGTATGGCTAAAACAGTCTTCCTGAGGCTGTAAAAAATCCCAGTGTGTCTCCTAAAAACCTAATCAGTTTTATTGCCAAAAAAACAGTGTTTAAAGAAGCATGTTTTAGGGCTTAGAATTGACACCAAGGTGCTGAGATCTTTAACTCCTAAAAGGTCAGTTAATACTAAAAAAGAATGGGGAGCTACTGAGTAGAGCTTGATTACAGGTATTTAAAAATGAAGGATACAACTTTATTCCCTGCCCTGCTATCCTCTCTTCCCTGGTACCTTCTTTCAACAACACTGGTCCCTGTTAGTGTACTGACTTTGCTGACAACTCTCCTGTTACATTTGGTTGATGTAGGCACCAGCATTTTGCTGAGGAGCCCCATGACCGGTAGTTATGCCCATACATGGGTTCCTAATGAGTGCCACAAACGAATACTGTTTTGTTTTTTAAATACTGCTACTAAATTGTGCCAGTGGTTGACTAGAGAATACTATGAATAAATCATATCCAAATGCCAAATGTTGTGATATTGGGTGTAGTGGGTGACATAACATCATATATAATGGCTATAAAAACATAAGTATAATAACTTGGCTGGTTTACTCTGTTGTAGAATAGACAATTTTCTACAACTTCCATTGAGTAATCAGCTAGTTTCAATGTTTGCTTATAATATGCTAGTAATTAGACTTGATGAATATCTTTCTTATGTTTTCCAAATTTACTGCATTCAAACTAGGAAAAGGCAATTGTTCTCAAATAACAAAATAAACAAAATATTTCAGGCCAATCATTATGCCTGTTTATTTTATTATGTAAAGAAAAATAGTACAGAAAGATGGAATCTATCACTCTTCTTTAAAACTAACCGTCTACTTTCTCCATCAACTTATCCCCACACAGTTATTACCTGTCACGGCTTGGGCACTGGAGCACCAGGAATCGGTGCTGGGTCTTATATATAGAGGTGCTCCGAAATGAAAATTTCAAAACCGAAATAAACAAAAATGTCAGACCGAAACCAAAAATGTTTTTTATTTTAACTTTTTCCAATTTTTTAGAATTTTTATTTTTATTTTTTTACTTTTTAATTTTTTGTATTTATTTATTCCCTTTTTTATTAAATATTTTTATTTTTTACTTTACTTTTAGGGATTTCGGGAAAAGTTTAGGGGTCTAAACAGACCCCTGATATTTCCCTTTTAAAATAGAAAAAGAGATTGAGGACACAGAGCCCTCAAACTCTTTTTCTGCAGCCCCAGTTTTAAATGAACAGGAATCCTCTATGAGTGTTCTTGTTCATTCATAACATGAGGGCATTGTGTGTTTACTATAACCACAATCATGAATGAACAGGAGGTGATGTAGATCACTTCCATTCATTCATAATTGAGGATATAGTCAACATACTATGTTCTCAATTATTTACAAACACTCAGTGATTACCGATCACTGAGTGTTTGCACTTGTCTCCTTCCTGACACACTGTCACAGGAGGCTGAGTGAGAGGAGCTCAGCCTGCTGTGACAGCGTTGGCTGTCTCTGCCCACACTGCTCTCCCGATCTGTGACAGGAGGCTGAGCGATGTGGGAGGAGAGACGCCGGCCGCTCACAGCGCTCTCCTCCCAAAGCGCTCGGCCGCCTGTTACAGTTTCTCTCCTCCCTGCTGGGACACAGAGCAGCACCTAGTGGGGAGGAGAGAATAGGATGCACCGCTGTATGGCCCAGAAAATTGCACTTTCGGCATTATGCCAAAAGTGCCATTTTTGGCCGATATATTTCGCTGGCCGATATATCAGTGCATCCCTACTTATATATATTGTATATTGTGACTGAATTAGGAATGTGCAGTGATACAGGTCGCAGAGTCGTAGGTGTGCCAGAGTTGCAGGATCTAAGGAGCCGCACAACAAAAAAAACAAGAGCAAGCAAAGACACAAAATACATGGTAAACTCAAGAAACAGCAATGCCACAGAAACCAGAGAGGTCTGACTACTAGCGCGGAGGCACGTTGCTTGAACGCTAAAGCACAGGTGCACAAGCCTTTTAACACCAAGGTTCAGGGTGGATTGACAGGAAACTGAGCAGCTCGGTAAAAGGCAAAACCCGTTCCCGGATCAATGTGCAAGAAACTGTGACATTATATTTGCAGCATCACTTGTCTATCTCTTTTTAGAACGTAACCTCTCATGGGCAGGGCCCTCCTAACCCTCTTGTCCAGAATTGTATTGTAATTGTACTTTCTCCCTTTATATTCTAAAACTCTGCACAATTTGTTGGCCCCTATATAAATCACGCATAAAATAAATATAATAGTAATTCCCAACCACTCATGTCAATGGCCAGAATTCTAATCCAGTGACTTCAATACTTTTTGGGTCACTAACCTGGACCAAATGTGCATATTAGGAGTTCACATTTCTTGCTTTCTAATATGCATGCTTGATCCAGCTCTGTGAAAATATTGAAGCCAGAGCTACCCAGACAATTAGTATTTTCAGAACGAGATCCATAGATCAGTAATGGCAAACTGTATATTTCCCGGTACAGATTTCCTTGAATTAAAAAGTCACTAATTTTTCACACATCTTTTCCTCTAATTTTTCAGATTTGACCAGTAACCCTCTCAGAGACTACTTTTATCTATTTTTGTGGCATGTTTACTACTTTTGTATTTCATTTCAGGATCACCTGAAGAGAAATCCAAATTGATGTTCACTATGTATGACATTGATGGCAATGGATTTCTTTCAAAGGATGAGTTTTTCACTATGCTGAAGTAAATGTATATTTTTGATTGTGTCTATGTGTTTTTGTGCCTGTAGAATGTTTTGATTAGGGATGAGCGAAGTGATTTCAGCTACACTGATTTCACGGTTGGCCAATTTATACAGAGACAGAAACTCTTAGCTTCACGCACTATTTGCTTAGGCTAAATTTACTTGAAATAAGTATTTAGTATGTTTTATGTTGGGGGGTCTATTTAGGGGTATTTCATTGTAATTCAATGTAATGCGCAGTTACTTTAATTTTGTGTATTTCAATGTTATTGTCTTACTGTAAAAAAAAGAACATAATGAGGCTTGTGGGGGGTCACTGTGGCACAAGAACAGTTTGAGGATAGCTAAAATGAACTTCAATTGAAAGCTGACTGTACTCTCTCCTCCCAAAAACTCTCTATTCTAACTCCAATTTATTTCTCCAAAATGGCAACATTTCATAGGAATCTCCTTAGTTTCATAGACATTTGGGGAAAATAAAAGCTCACAATTTTGCTTATCCTTAGTTTTGATTTCTGCATATGTATCGGTGTATGCTACATTGCAATGTATTTTAACCATAATTATTGAACAGATTATAGGTGTGCACTTTATTTTTTCAAAGAAGCTGCCTTTGTTGACTCACTTCTGAAAATGCTTATGTTTTTCTTGTTGGTTATGTGTTTAGCTGAAGCACTGAGATCAAGTTGTACTTGTGTAGAAGGAAAGGATATGTATACATAGATAAGCACGCATATAGAGGGTAACATTGGGCTACACTGCCATCTACAAATTAAAAATTACATATTACATCTGCGCAATACAATCAGTACAGTAGAATATGTTGTTGCATTTCAAACATTTCTACCCTTCTGGCTCCAATGCTTTCAGAGTCATTTATCTAGAAAAAGTATGCATAACAGGAAAAGTCAAAGTAAAGTCCACATCTGAATTCTTGTTCTGGGTTAGTGCCTTAAAGTATTGAAGTCCAGGAGTCAGCAACAGTCAGGCTACTAGCATTACCAAATTAAGAAATTCACAATGGCCGTCTTTGTGTTTTTCTTGCCAAAGGTTTCCTTTTAAGTGAGTCTTTCACTAAAATCAGTGTGTAAATGTGTTCCCTGCTAGAAAGACATTAAATACACATATTCTACCGGTGCCTGCATTGCCGATCTCAGCTATAGTGAAGGAAAACTGCAGGTTGAAGAATATCAGAATCCAAGACTTCAAAGACTTTCAAATTCCTGGTCCCCCACTACAGACTGTGGTTCTTTTCACCAGCCTCTATTTAACTATCGGACACCTTAGTAACATAGGGGTTAGTGGATCGAACTACTAAGCAAAGTGGGGGACCAGGAATCTAAAGATTTTTAGCTGACAGTTTCTATTGACTAAAGTGTAGATCGGCAACACCTGTAGTGGTAGACATAAGTATTAAATGTCTCCTTTGAAGGGAACAGTTTATTTTACACATTGATTTTAGCACAACAATTACTTTCTGTTTCTATAGCAGACACCAAAATAGTGGTTAACACTGTATAACATCCTACAGTCTGATACTAATATGCCTATGGAAATTATTTTGTGGGACATTCTGTGCTGTATAATTATGTTCATTATTTCAGATCTTTCATTGAAATCTCTAATGACTGCATTTCTGAAGATCAAGCTGAGCAAGTCATAGAAAGTATGTTCAGAGAAGCAGGATTTGACAACAAAACAGAACTGACGTGGGAAGATTTCCATTATCTGCTCAGAGATCATGACAAGGAATTGCGTTTTTCAAAACTGAATTTTAAAGGTATAATATCTCTCTCTCTCTTCTCTTTCTCTCTTCTCTCTCTCTCAGGGGGGTGGATCGAGACAATATTATCAAGATTCTTCCCGGCTGCAGTGTCACTCTGCACTGTCAACAGATAGGGAGCATTAGTAAATGTATATTTGGTTACAGAAGTACATTAGTAAATGTACTCCTTTGACAGAAAAAATAAGTAAAGTCCAAACAAAAGTGTGGCTTTACTTCTCTTTTTACAATTACTAATGTACTCCTGTGACCCAAACATTCCTGTTGTTTCAGCTTCAAATTTACCACACTGAACACAATCTACCCATAAACATCTGATTTTTCCTTCACTATGTTTTTCTTAAAGCATAATATAGGAAAGCCATGGTAGGAATGTGAAACTCAGGCTGTGTAACACACTCACCTGTACTCAGCTCCCGGCCGTCCGGGGGTTCCATCGGCGATCCGATGACATCATCGGACTCCGCCCCTTCTTCTTCTTAAGCCGACGGAACCACTTGCCTGGTGTTCGTGTAAGGTGTGTGATGCCAGGCAAGTACCTCTACCACCTCCGCCAAACAAGAACCAGAGATTGGTCAGTGCCCCTGCTCCACAGCTCCTCTCCTCCAGCCACCACAGATTCAGCTGCTTCCAGTCTGCTAAAGCATTTCTGCCTGCTCTACAGATTCTGGCCACCGGGTGGCAGCAGAGAAGTACTCAACTCAAACAGCAAGTATTCTCAATTGAATCAGTTGATGCCACTGAACTGTGTTTCCAGTTTGCAACCCATTGGATGCTACTGAACAGTGTATCTTGCCTACAAACCAAATATTGCCATTGAACTGTGTATCCAGCCTACAAACCATTTGCTGCCATTGAACTGTGTACCTTACTTACAACCCGTTTAACAGCCTCCAGTCCGCCAAACATTGAAAGACGGCCGGACAGGAGTCTACTGGATGCGGGTGGGCGTCTTTAGACGTCCTTTCCTGCCCGCGGCCACTCGCTCGCACCCCCTGGCGTGCACGAGCGGGAAAACGCCTGGATTTTAAATGGCCAGCACTGGCCATTTACATACAAGCGGTCCGGCACTTGTATGATGCAAGTGAGGGTGCGCCCCCTCCTTACCTCTCGTCGCCGTCGCTGTCCCCGCAGCCGCCAGCCACCAAAAAATGGTATAAATTTAATTTCAGTACAACGTTGCATGACGGAATAAAAGTCAGCCAAAGTACTGCAGCGCTGCATACTGAAAAATGGCCTGGACAGGAAGGGGGTGTAAACACCCCGGTCAGCAAGTGGCTAAAGTAATTGAAGTGTGAATCTGACTTATTGACCAGTTGTAGCCAGTTGTAGCAAGTGAACCGTGCACCCATTATCCATCCAGCGCAGTATCTGAAGAGGAGATCTCACCCATTCCTGACTAGACCAGCCCAGGCGTTACAGGCTGTATATCTCATAGCTGGAAATAAATAAAATAAGACTAATGTGTTAACAAGGACACTGGATTTCAGTAAATTAACAATTTGTTATTGTTTTTGAATATAAATCAATATTAAACATATACTTACAGTAAGCATATTTTTAAAAACCTAATCAGAGATCCAATCCAACTTAAACTGATATCATTTTTTGTTTTTGGAAGATGCATGAGTTAAACAACCTGACAGTTTGCTATACTCTCGTCAAATATTTTTGTGAGATCTCTGACTTGAGTTCCTGGGTCTGCATACCTGTTGTGGATTTTAATTGTGAGGTTCACTCTGCTGGAGATTTTATTTATTTTTTACAGTGAAGGATCTAAAGGTGGGTGGGGATGCTTGATACACAGAAAGTGTTGTTATCTAATGAAATTCCCAGTGTCACTGTTTAAAATACAATGTTAAATGTTTTAGTTTGTTTTTGAAACAATGTCTGACAACCTTTTTTTACTGTGTAGGTATGGATGGTTCAGATGTCTTCAATCACATGTGCAGAAGAGTATCGGGTATTGAAAAACAGTATGTGTGATGTTCCATATTTTATGTGTTGTAACAACACAGAGAATGTTTACCATTGTAGATGGGAGTTTATGTTATGTTCTTCAATAAAAACTCATTGACACAGTACAGCTAAATGGAAAAAAAAAAAAACATATACAGAATTAGATTTAAAAAGTAAACGTTGCCCTTCTTGCACCCTGGTTTCTGGGTGCTTCCTGTAGGTGAGAGTGACATCACTGGACCTTTTTCTGGGTTCCTGGAAACACTGAGGAGGCCATATCTCATAATCACTCTAACACTGTGCAGGAGGGTCTTCTTGTGAGAATTGGGTCATCCTCATTCCCACGATCCAATGAGAGGGTCCAGTGCTCTTGCCCAAGCGAATTTGCCATAATCCAGGTGTTTATTTCAATTTATTTAACTGTGCTTTTTTATATTGGTTGGGGGGGGGGGTTTACTACAAGATGACTTGTAGTAAACCCCCCCACCCCCCAAGGGACCAAATGACTTGTCACGTACACTGTACGTGATGAGTTATTTGCTGCACTAGAAGGCTGGTAACTGCTGAGAATCACTATAGAGGCATCCATTAATGAAAGGGTTAACCTTTTTTCAGACACCCGATACCTGAAGATCGGGTGTCTGAGAGTCAAAGCAGAGCCGGCATGTTTGCCCGGCATTCTGACAGCTCGTATAGATCGAGAGATATCTCTCTCAAGCTATACTGGCTTTTTTTTTTCACTTTCAGGAAAAGATACATAATGTATCTATTCCTGAAAGAAGAATGTTTCAGTTTTCTGATGGTGTTGTAACAATCAGAAAACTAGTGACAGCTGAATCCTGAACTGCTGCAGGATCAGTGTCACTAACTTATTATAGGCTGTTCTGAAGTTTGAAGCAGCCTGATAATAACCAAAAATGTATTAATTTATCAAGCAGTAATAGTGAGATTAATTCACAATGACTGCTTGATATAATTAAATAAATAAAATAAAAATTTTAAGCTTAAAAAAAATTGTGAAAAGTGTAAAAAAAATAAGTGTAAAAAAATAAAAAATAAGGGACAAATAAATGAATGTATTTATTGCATTTTTTTTAGCTGTGCTGATTTTGTAAAAAAATACTACATATCAAAACTGGGAAAAAAGTGGGGTTTTTTTACGTTTTTTCCTCTTTTTTTATATTTTATTTGTCCTAAGTGAGGCATTAGACACACATATGTGATATAAATATGTAGCCCTATCTGTCCTCTAAAAAACAATATATAATATGTGTGGGTGCACTTTGTAAGAAAGTATATTACTGACGTGGAAGAATCACACAGCAAAAATTTCAAAAGTGTGTCAGTCATTTACGGACAGAAACTAAAAACAAGCTCAGTCATGAAGGGGTTAATACTATATCCAATATATTGTACAGTCATTTTACTATAAAAATATATGGTTTATAGATATTAATCTATTTCTTCCTTTCTCATTAAGTCCTGGAAATATGCTTGAAGAAAACCTATACACAGAGGCCAAAAAAGAAAAATACCAAAGAAGCAAATTATATCAGAAAATACAGGCATTTAAACGTTTTATTGAGAATTACCGCCGGCACATTGTTTGTGTGGTGATATTCTATGGAATTTGTGCTGGACTGTTTATAGAAAGAGCTTACTGTAAGTACTGTAATTGTAAGGGAGACACTATTAACAATGGCAAATACTTTGGGGGAGATTTATCAGTTTGTGAGACAGATATATTACACGGTTTATTTTGAATCATAAATTCCTTCCTTAGCTGCTCTTTGACAGAATAAAGCCTGACCTTGTCCACTTCTTTATTGTGCGTCTGTTTAGAATGAAAAGCTGTTGCATCTTCAGTAATAAATCTGTCTTTGCAAACTGTTGCACTTGGCTGCCCAGGAATACAGATGCATAGGACTGTACACTTTGCTGAAATAGAGGCAATTTGATATGCAGCTAATTATGTCACTAATTTGCTTGATAACTGTCCCCATAATGAGTGTAAACCAAAAGAGATGGAACATTTAATCACTGAAGACAATGTTTGTCCTGAATCCTTCATCCAAACATGCATCATTGATTTCTTTTTGAAACCCTCCTAAATTCAACCCATTTTTACTGTAAGACAAAAAACCCAGGGCCCAGGGAGTCATGATGGAAAACCCCAACTTCTGTTGCATTTATTCTTTTTCTTCTATTCCACAGCCAATGTTTCCCCCCATCTCCCTTTTTTGCTCATATTCTCCCTATGCGATTTATTTCCTACTAATTCATGTTTTTTACTTCATAAGTTACTTTTACAGAGACTTAACATTCTTAAGGCAGGTTACCCTCCGAGAAGAAAGTTCTGATTTTCTTACATACTATTAGGATAACATTGATACCTCATTGATCTCATAATAACGTTTACATCTTGTATACCTCTACTTGTTATATCTTTTGAAAATGTACACTCTAACTTTTATTGGCTTTGTTATATTTTTAAATAAAAACAATTTGCAAAAAAACCCATAAAAAACACACATATTCTGAATAGAATAATAATAGTTAATCACTTTTCTAATAATTTGTTTACCTGTTTAAGATGCATTATAAAACTCATCCGGTAGACTGCAGAAACCTCTTGGCTAGATGTTTTAGATGGTTGTAGGCAAACCCGAATTTAATGTCCTTTGTGTTGATAATTTTATTGTGTGGAAGTAAATACATTAAGCACATTGCACAAATTCCTTTACTTTTCTTTCGTGTTCTAAACTAATAAAAGCTTTTTTTAATATATTATATGCAGATTATGCTTTCGAGTCGCAACACATTGGTATTGCGGAAGTTACTTTGCCAGGTATCATTGTATCCAGAGGGTCAGCTGCAAGTATCTCCTTTATGTTTGCGTACATTTTGCTCACTATGTGCAGGAATCTTATCACTTTCTTCAGAGAGACCTTTTTGAATCAGTACATTCCCTTTGATGCTGCAGTGGATTTTCATCGACTTATTGCAAAAACTGCGCTTATATTAACAGGTAGGTTTTTTTTGGTGATAAAGCCCTGATTTATAGTTAGCAAAAATATGTGTTGTATAACATATGTTCAAAACATATGTAAACCTAAGAACAAATATGTAATATATTACAGCTTATCAGTCCTTAGAGGTGGGGGCTGAATCAATATTCATTTTGAAGTCTAAATACATTTTCTACAAGTACAGAAAAAATACAGTTTCTGCCAACATCTTGGGTCCTTTAACTTACTGTGTTCTGAACTGAATTATGAAACAATGTGGTCAGGTTTCTCAGTTAACACCTATAAACTGTACACCCCCCTTGTAGTGGAGATAAAAAGAGGTGTTTGTAAATCGAATAAGGTGAGCAGCTTAGGGTGACAACACTGCTCCTCCATAGATGCAGTATAGTGAGTGAATGTTGTCACACTAGGACTAGAAGTTACTGGCAGGATCATCAGGTAAAAGTAAAGGGAAAAAAAGACCTGAAAACGGGGATGGGTGTTAGTTAGGCATATTTCCCAGGATCAGTCAGAAGAGATGATGTTCGCCAGCGAGAGACGGCGTCCCCTTTCTCTCAAGCAGACACCTCGGATGATGCTGAAGTCATCTGGGGATCTCTTGAAGAAGGTCTTCGGTCACCGAAAGGCACTGTGCAGCTTTCCCCGTCAACACTGTCAGGCTCCCCTCGAATTGCTGGGCCCCCTGGAATCACTCACAGTACTGGCCTCGGCTGTTCATCCAGGCTGCGATATCCCCGCTGTACTAGTGTCACTGGGTCCCACTGAAGCACTCGTTCCGGGAACTCTGAGCACAGCAACACCGGATGAAATTATTATTATTATTACATAGCATTTATATAGCGCCAACAGTTTGTGCAGCGCTTTACAATATAAGGAAGACATTACAAACACAATACAATTCAAGACAAGATGGTAAGGAGGGCCCTGCCCCTGGGGGCTTAAATCTAAAGGTGCCCATACACTGTGCCATTATCGCACGATAATCGTGGGAAATCCCGCGATCGTACGATAATCGCAAAGTGTATGGAAGGCGTGCGACTGTTTTTACTATACGGTCGCACGTCTTTTGTCTAAGGAGCATGTTCGGCATGCTCGGGAGACAAATGCCAAACGGGCCGGTGTGCGCACGCGCACACTGTCCGTTCAGCATTGCGGTCATCGGAAGCCCGCCCTTCAGCTGGGCCGGCTTGCGATGATCGCAAGTACGATCTGCCTGTCCAAGATGGGCAGATCGTACGTTTTTTAAATTACTTTACAACCATCGCAAGACTAAGGTCTTGCGATGGTTGTAAAGTGTATGGCCATCTTAAAAGGGGAGGGGGAAGTGATACATGAGGAGGTAGCTGTGTGGGGATGAATTGTCTCTTCTTGACAGTACCCACAGAGCCTGTGAGCCCCTCTGCGTCAGTGGCAGCCACACAGCTCTGTCTCTCACATAAATCTTTCCAGACAGGATTACACAGATCTGTCCTCTTGGCTGGGATCTCCTGGACTGAGCGAGCGCAGCAACCCCAGCCCAGAATCACCCCTCCTTTCTGAAACAGTGTGAAAGATCTCACACAGCACCACCAGTCTTCTGCTCTGCACTGCAACTCCCACAAGTCTCTGACTCACAGGATGTACAAGGTCAATTAACTGTTTACAAGCAGAATATCGATGATCTCAGTAGCAACATATATAGGTGCTACATAATTATGAAAGTGTAATACCTTTTGTAGAAACAGAGTGGATTATTCATATGTACAGTTTCCCAAGTTCCACTAGCAGTGCAGGTTTTGCAGGTACCCTAACGTATGCAAAGCTGAAGTAAGCAGTATCTCAGCAATGGGATTCAACTTTTGGATAGAGTAGGGGAGAGTCTTCTGTTATCTGTGTCCTGTTGGGGAAATTTCATGTAATCTTTATTTTCCAAGAGACAGGAAATCAAAGGAAATCTCTTCAAAAGTAGAAAATTATATCTTTTAGATAGTTGCTACTAGAATAGGGATTACCATTGAAAGATTTCTCCTCAATTCTTGTGTTAGTGGCAACTAAACAGTTTTGGGTTTCCCATCATTTTGTGTCTCATTGACAGTGATCACCAGTACAAAAAGAGAGGGTGATGGATGTCCAGCATGGAAGGCAGACAGCAGTAAAGCTTAACAGGGGTTCTAATGCTTCCTAACTCTACGCAAATCTTAAACAAATAAAGTTTTTGGCTATACATATACTTTTTCAGTAGACCTTCAGCAAAAAGTGATTGTTTTAATGAACACAGTTCACCATGTTTAACACATGTTTCTTTGTCTTACAGTGCTCCACAGCGTGGGCCATGCAGTCAATATTTATATGTTTTCCATCACGCCTCTTAGTACTCTGTCCTGCATATTTCCTAAAGTTTTTCAAGATGATGGGTAAAGTCAAGTTGATTAACTATATAAAAATGGTGCCACGGTGCTTTTAACCTTCCATCCTTTCTTCTCCCTCTCTATTCCAGTTATAGTAATAAATACTAATTGTTTCAAAGACAGTAGAAACAGTTTTATTGGCTGCAGAAAGAAACAACAGATTCAAATTGGGTTCCCTGATCACTTAAGTCACAACTATTAGAATCAAACAATTGTACCTTTAATTTTCATAGCAAAGTACTTTTTTATGTATTCAAAAAACCTGTTGATTAATTTGTAACATTTTTTTTTTCAACAAATCCAGAATTTTATATTCATCCACATATTTGTCTAATCCATTTGAAATAATATCATTCATGAATCCAATTTTCTGCATTCATGAACTGTGTAATTCTCCAGATACTGCACAAGGTTACATACACATATTGAAGTAAAGAGAAATGTATAATTTACAACAACAAAAAATAATCAAATTTATCAGACTTGTATTTGCTAATTTACTCGCGAGTATCAAACTAATTCATGTTATCCATTTGTTTTTGTTCTTTCTCATTTATCATCTGTCAGGTGACTTAATTTCTTTACCTTTCCATTTTTTTATATTTTAAAGATCTGAATTTCCAAATAAATTTTATTGGTGGTTTTTCCAAACAATACCTGGTAAGTTTTTGTTTTTATTTCATTCAAATAATAGTTATTTATAAATATCTAAGAAACATAAATGCCTTCTGAGCTTTATAGTTTTCCAAATACAATGGGGGGGG